AGGTTCCCCCACGGAGAGCTCAGCTGAAATCACTGAGAGCTGGGTGGAACCTCAACAGACCAACTCGCAGAGGTCACAGTGGCAGCAGAATGTGATGGCACAGGGCCATTGTCAACAGAGCAAGGGAGTGAACGGTGGCACAATGAACAACAATGGCCAGAGCGAACAGTGAGCAGCTGGAAGAACGAGCAAGGTGCCTTCTTGTCCCCCACCTGGGAGGTGAACTCATGAGAAAGCACCTCTAAACCTCCACTGATGAAGGACAACACCGGTGAGTGTTAATAAGGCTGTTTAGAATGCTGGTGACACAACACAGTTCATGCAAACAAACCTGGCTGTGGCATCATACTTTCTATTTAAGCAAGAGATACCACACACTACAAACTGGAAGCCAATGTTAAGTGCATTGTCATTTTTTCATCCTGAAGTTTAACACTGCTTCCGAACAAGACCAGCAAATGCTCACTACCTTTCTGAAAGAAACTCAACTGACTGGGTGCAACAGTGAAAGACTCAACAGTTGAAAAAGTGAAGAACACACACCACATTCAAAAAATTTGCATACATGGCTGATGAATGCACGGATGGAAATAGGCATCAAGTATAATATCATTGTGTATGTTACCTTGATGTCAGGGGTAGACCAGTAGATGCATTTCTAGATGTTCAAGTTATAGAAGACACACCACCTGCATCTGTGACAACCCACATCTTAGAAGAGTCAAATGCTTGTCAATTGGACCCGGGGTGAAAGTAACTTAAAGGACTTACCGGTACGCCGGAGTCCTGAGCGGGGGGTCTGGCCTCAACTGGAAGAGGCGGGGCCTTTCAAGATTTAAAGGCCCTGGGGCTCGAGCTGTGGCTGGGAGCCCCATGGCCCTTAAATCACCCCGTAGCTACCAGCTACAGAGGCCGGAGCACCGGGCCCTTTAAATCCCTGCCCAAGCCAGGCTGCTGGAACTCCAGCGGGGATTTATTTAAAGGGCCTGGGGCTCCCCGCAGCAGCGGGAGCCCCGGGCCCTTTAACTCTCCGCCGCGGAAGCCGGTCCAGTCCAGCACGGCGTACTGGTTCTTGCTTACTTTAACCTCTGATTGGACCCAAAACAGATGGCTGCTTGTGCATTTGATGGAGCTGCAAACTTCTCTGGAAGACATGGTGGAGTACAAGCTTTGCTCAGAGAAAAGTGTAACCCTAATCTCTCCTATAGACACTGCAGAGGCCATCTACTCCAACTAGCTCTAGTACAAACTGCAGACTCTTCAAAAGACATTAAAAAAAAAAGCTATAAATGTAATGTCTTCATTATACTCTTTTTTTCAGCAAGAATCCAAAAAGACTGAATATCTTGGAAAATATTCAAGATACAATGGGGCTGAAGTTCAAATTAGTCCAACCTGGGAAAACCCTCTGGCCTTCTCATGAGCCTCTTGGCTATTGTCTTAAAATTACTCTAGCTGTTATCTACCAAGATGGGATGGATCTAAGTAGTGAGGCTGGTGGATTACTTTTGCTACCACGTTCAGAGAAGACCATTGCCATTCTCTCTGTTGTAAGTCTACTGTTGAAATAACTTGGGTCATTAAACAATGCCATTCAGACATCTGCTACAACAGCAGCAGATCTTTGTGCAGCAATAGAAGCTACATTTGGATCAGAGAGCTATCCATTGAAAAGGTACTGGAAGAAGCAAAGACTTCAGTCCAGAAGTTGATTAATGAAGGAATTTATATTGAATCCTTAAGTGAAGAGGACAAGAAGTGTTTGTTAAGACAACTGAAAAAGTACACAGACTTCATTCTTAAAAATCTACAACAGCGACTTCTAGATTCTACTCAACCTCTACGTAGTTTTTACAGATCCCTGTCCTATAAAACATCGACAGTTGAGTGGAGTGGGGCACTACCAGCAATGGGGCTGCCATATGCTAAGAACAGAATAGAGAATTTGAACACAGAGTGGAATATCATACGACGAATGAATAAAGATTTGACTTCAACTTCTTTTTATCATCACTAGTGGCTCGACTCGATCTTTATGCTATGTTTCCTGGGATACAGAAGCAGGAATTCATCTCTTGCTACTCCCAGTCACAACAGCTACAGCTGAGCGTTCTTTTTCATCATTGAATAGAATTGTGTTCTGATAGAAGTTGCCTTCTGCTTGATCATGTGAATGAACTAATGAGCATATCAATTGAAGGAATGGAAGTACTGGACACACTAGAAGCCACCAAAGATGAACACATTGCATTCAAGAAGTTCATTAACAGAGTTGTGCACAATTATAACCAGAAACCAAGAAGGATGTAGATGTAGTGCTTCATAGAATACTTGAGTAGCCAACTTTAGTTTGTGTGATGATTTAAAAAAAAAATATAGAGTAAAATCTAATAAAATGGTCATGAAACATTTTTTAGTTTTTACTATGATGCCATACAGCCCACCTTCACCCTCAAGGTCTCACCTGTGTCCCCCTCCCCCCATAAATTCGAACACCCCCTCTAATTTCAATTCCTGGGGAAAACACTGGCTCCTCTCATCTGCCAGGTACTGGAACGGAGAACAGGTAGATTGCCTTTTCTTTGCTCTCTGCTCCCCTTCCTGGTGCCCTGGCAGTGGGGACAAAGAAGGCGGCACACTGGAATGGAGAGAGGTGAGAAATAGGTAGAGAATAGGGCGTTTTAGAAGCTGAGGATGTGGGAGCGGCAGAGAAGGGACAGAAGCTGGTGGATTGGAGCACAGGAGGTTTGGTGGGGCACTATAGCGGGGGGGCAAGAACCAAGGGATGGGACTTGGATATGAGCAGAAGGGGAAGGGGTTACAGTGCCTAGGGGCAGAATGGTTTATAACCGCTAGAGAACACTCCCCTATAGAGCCTGAATCTAGGAGTCTCTCATCTCTCCATTTATCTGTTATCAGCAACTACTGGTGAAACCCAATGACAAAGTGTATGAACTAGAATGGGACGAGACACTTTATAGAGGAGAACAGCCTACTACTGCTACTGGTTAATCTAAACTGCATAGCTGAGGTCTATGCTGTAGAAATGAAGATCAGAACCCTGTTGATGAACTGGGGATCAATGTGGTTTAACATGATGGAATTAATTTTTTCAATTTGTTTAGGAAATCACATTGAGAAAAACGTTAAACAAATGTGAAGTTTGTCAAGTCAAGCATTCTAAAGCTATGAAATGCCAGAATTAAGGACCCCTGCCTTATTCAGTGAATGATATGTCATTCATGAGACAATTCTGGTTCATCCCCAGAGCACTGAGGCGGGGTCCTGTGGAAAAAATAGTATGTGATTGTTTATTTAAAGACTATATCAAAATGCATATGCTGACAAGGGTGCCAGATTAATGTTGCAGACCCAACCTTAATTCTGGCACGTCCCTACTTTTGAGTGATTGACTTTGTATCTTAATGTTCTTTTAAATGTATTTTTTATGTAGTAGTAAAGCATATAGACAAAGTATTGGGGTGAGAGGGTGGAAAGTAGAACTTCATTATGTACCAACACGTTGGCTTTATAGCCAACTGCATTCACTTACTGCACTGACCTTTTTGCTTCATTGTTTTAAAATACAATAATTACCTTGTGAATCTGAAGTCTTGGTGGCAATGATGGTGATTTCCAGATTCAGGTTTTCTTTATCATTCTCTTTTCAGCAAAAAAATTCAGCCTTGTAAAAAGACACCTGATATACTTCCAGATTTAACCCTACTAAAGGCAGGGTGTGTGAAATTGCAGAATGTTGTGGGGTCTTTTTTTTTTTAATTCTTCTGTACAGAGTCTGAGCGATAGATACCTACAATAGGTGTATCTCATATACTGTGTATTTGACATTCCTTTAAGTTAATATATATGTAAATAATATTGGCATGAAAATTTACCAGCCCAGCCAAATAATTATTCACCTACCCTATACTGGAGGAAAGCCCATAACATTTAATTTGACCATAAAAAAAAATATTGCTTTTGATACTCCTTGTATAGAGCCCAAGCTAGGATTACGATAGACTGATGTCTATATGAATATAATAACCCTAACCCAAGCCTCACCTCACTTTACATGTACTCACACACAAAATTAGACAGCACACCTCAATAATCAAATACATCAATTGCAAATTAGCAAGGAGGCAAATGAAATGGGCCCCATGGTATCAAGTTGTGCTCATGTCTGTCCTCCATACCCCCAAGTCTCACCTCCCTTTACACTTACTCGCACACAAACTGAAACCGCGCAGCTCAAAAATCAAATAAATCAACTGCAAACTAGCCAGAAGCAGCAAATTCTGCAGGTTGTCAAAGCAGCCCCCAGCCCTCCGAATTCGCTACCCCGACCAGGTGGGAGCAAGCTCTGACGGGTAGGCAAAAGACCATGTTCGCATGCAGCTGTTGGTAGCAAAATTGGAGGGATGCAATTTCTGCTGCCCTTCTTGTGGCAGGGCGGCCAGCGGGCTGGCTTGAGTGGGTGCGGCCGTTGTTGGGGGGGCTGGAGGCAGCCAGGCGCTGACACCCCGAACCCCGGGAGGCCGCTCCCCAGAGGCCGTTACAGCCACGCGCCACGACTTGCCCCCCCCCAGCGGGGCGCGCGGGAGCCGAGGCTGGAGTAGGCGTAGAAGTGGCAGGAAGACATCCAGGGGCGCCGCGCCGCCGGCGGCTCAGTCGCGCGGGCAGAAGCTAGTGACGCAAGCGCTGGGAGAAGAACGGGCAGTCAGCGGCACAGAACCACTCGTGCGGGCCGAAGTCGAGAAGCGCGCGCTCGGGCTCTATGCGAGGAAGCTAAAGGCACACCGGCTTGCCCTTTAAGTGTTGCTCCTGTCTTGAGATAGTTGGTCATGTGATAGGGATGAGCGTGCGCCTGCGCCTCTTAGCAGCTCCTGGCGCGCCTGCGCAGTGTGGATCTAGCTATTTTCCCGCCCGCCTTGGGTTACCGGCCGGACAGGCAGTACCTGCAGGAGCGAGCTCATTCTGGTGGGTGAGAGGCCGCATCATCCATAACGTCAGTTTCCCTCCTCCCCGAGCCCCCCCAGCGCTTCCTCTCGCCCCGGAATGACCTTCCCGCTCACCAGGGGCCCCGACTCTTCTGGGCTGGTGGCGAACCCAGTCGACTCGGCCCTTTCCTCGCCCGGCAGGGCCCAGCACAGCCCGGCGGGAGGGGTCTGAGGTGACAGATCTGCGAGAATCGCGACGCGCGTGACGTGCCGCAGCGCGTGTGATCGTTGTGCACGCGAGTGAACCGCCGCCCCTCCCCGCGTGGAGTTTTCGTGAAGATGTCGTGCGGGGAGGGCCCCCGCCCACTTCCCAGGTACCCCGCCGGGAGCCGGCTCCCCCTCTGCTGCAGTTGCCCCCCCCCCTCCCCGAGCGTCCAGAGAGCTGCAGCAGCCGGGGGAGCTGTGCCTGGGAGAGAGCCCGCTCGGAAAGCAACGTTAGGGCGCGTTTCAGCCCCAGGTCGGGCTGTCAGCAGCTGAGGAACGCTGCGTGGTGTTACTTGCTTCGCTTGTGCAGCCCGGGGGTTCCCTAGGGAGGCGTGTAATCGATGTTTAATTTAGGCTGTATTGTGTTGAACGAAGCTTCTGTAAGAAGTTCAGCACTAGGACCCGATTACAGTGTCCTGTAAGTGGTGACGTACTGATAAGGGGCTTCCCTGGTAAAGGAGATCCATGGAAAAATAACGCAGCCCGGGTTTGTGTTATCTCTCTGCCCTGAGCTCAGCAGAGCTGATGTGGAGGATGTTGTGCTTAGGGCCCTACCCAGTATAATTCCTGGTAGCCCCAGCGAACTCTCCAGGCAGTAAAGGGAAAGAGAACTAAGGCCTGGTCCCCACTAAGCCCCCACTTCGGACTAAGGTATGCAAATTCAGCTACGTTAATAACGTAGCTGAATTGGAAGTACCTTAGTCCGAACTTACCGCGGGTCCAGACGCGGCAGGAAGGCTCCCCCGTCGATGCCGCGTACTTCTCTCGGCGTGCTGGAGTACTGGCGTCGACGGCAAGCACTTCCGGGATTGATTTATCGTGTCTTAACCAGACGCGATAAATCGATCCCAGAACATCGATTTCCTGCCGCCGGACCCTCCGGTAAGTGAAGACGTACCCTTAGACAAGAGGTACCTGATCTCCACCCCTACTCCGTTTCTGCATCAGAGAGAATGATTTCTGAGATGTATTTGATCCTCTACATCAGGGGTGGGCAAACTTTTTGGCCTGAGGGCCCCATCGGGGTTCCAAAACTGTATGGAGGACCCCACCCCTTATCCAACCCCCTCTGCTCCCTGTCCCCTGACTGCCCTGACCCCTATCCACACCCTTGCCCCCTGACAGGCCCCCCCAGGACTCCCATGCCTATCCAACCACCCCTGTTTCCCATCCCCTGACCGCCCCCCTGAACCTCCACCCCATCCAACCGCTCCCTGGCCCCTGACTGCCCCCCCGTGACCCTCTGCTCCTTATCCAACCCACTCCCCATCCCCTTACCATGCCGCTCAGAGCAGCATGTCTGGCAGCTGCGCTGCCCAGAGCGCTGGCAGCACGGCAAGCTAAGGCTGTGGGGAAGTTGGGCTAGCCTCCCCAGCTGGGAGCTCAAGAGCCAGGCAAGATGGTCCCACGGGCCATAGTTTGCCCACCTCTGCTGTACATACTACAGTTATTGGGGCAGTATATGAGCAAATTAGAAGCACTGACATTTCCAGGGCGTGAATTGTTCATAAAGTTTGGATACATTTGTTCAAGAAATTCAGAAAAAGCAATAATTTATGTGGAAAAATAAGTTAGGTACATCTCATTAATGCAGGTCTTGAATACATAACATAGTTATTCTAAAAACTAGTACTTAACATCAAAACTTATTTTTGTTTCATCCATTAGTTAAAGGATGAAAAGTGACAAGGAGCCATTTTTTGTTAAATTTATAAAGTCTTCTGGAAACTCTGAATATTTTTTTAAAGCTCTTGAGGTAAGCACTTTTGGTACCACTATCAGCTGTTTTTTTCCTGAATTTAGTTTTCCATCTAATTATTTTCATGGTTATTTGTAGCACCTTAATGCATATATCTGTAAATAAAATGTATTGTTTCTGTAAGATGAAGGCATTTAATGTTAGATAATACAGATGCCTTGTTTAACTTTTTTTCTACAGCAAGGATCAACATTTTCTTTGTTATATGTTTTTACTATATATATATTTATGTTCTATTTTTACTAATTGTAGTGGGTTAGTTTCACTTCTTAATACAGTAGAGAATTCATATAGTGAAATCATTGTTTTGTGAAACCGATTTCCCTGTGGCACCAATCCTATAAGGTGCTGTGTGCCTCTGGAAAGGTGCTGAAGCACTCAAAACTTTTGGCCCAATCCAGCCTGGCATAGCGCTTACTACTGTTAGGTGTTTTTTGAAATAATTGAAGATAGATTGAATAACCTAGTTAAAAACCTTGACCTCCCCAAGGAGCAAATTGTCCTACAGGGTTTGAATTAACTTATCGAGGGGTATGCTGTGTCTTGGTAACTAGCATTTGAATGATCATCCCGATCATACAGTGATCGTAGAGGGCACTCAGCAGGTTCCAGAACAAAGTGAGCTGCAATCCTGAGGGTTCAGGTCGCTCATCCACGCTACTATAGCTTCATTGAGGAAGGTGTCAAGTCATTTCTCCCTTGGGAAATCAGTGGGAGTTAGAAGTCTCTCAGCACAGATCAGGTCCAATAGGTGAAAATTTGTACACTGTACATTTCAGGGGATTGAAATAATTTGATATTTTTGTTCAACTTCACTACAAATCGATTCTTATATATTAATTTTGCTATGAGTAATTTCAACTGGTTATGCTTTTGCTGTTGCCATAGGATTTATTTAAAAGAATTGTCTAACAGAGGAAAAGGAATTTAAGTATATTGTTGTTTTATGTTTTCTTGCAGTCCATAAAAGAATTTCAGTCAGAAGAATATCTCCAGATCCTTGAAGAAGTGCCAGCACTCAATATAAAAGAGAATGACAAATCACTTTACATCTGTGACCCTTTTAGTGGCATTGTTTTTAGTCACCTCAAAAAGGTTTGCTACCCACTAGATCACTTTCAAGTGTCCTATTCCTTTTTAAGGAATGCTCATACACATGATCCTACACATTTTCTCTTTCTGAATTCTGTATACTGGCTTGTAATGTACACAGTGAATATGTGTAAATACAGTCTGCTGTTAAACAGAGTTTCAGTGGGAAAATTGCAAAGGGTAGGAATAGCGTAAAAGGGAAGACAAGACAAGGGATTCAATCCTTCAGTCTCAGTTGCCTCTGCTTCTGCAGGACCTGTGGCCACCTTTTTTGTTTCTCCCAGTCATAGAGCAGCCTGGGAAAACGGTATGGTTGCAGTGATCTCTGAGATGTTGCAGTAGCAAAGGATAGGATAGCCAGAGCTCAGTGTCGCTCCAAACATTGCCTCTGTTACCTATGCTGGGGCCAGCTCTATTCCACATGAGGATTTCCCTATGTTTGAGCAGTCCCCAGCCAATCGGTTGGTCAGTTTCAACCGCTTTGTGTTACTGGAGTGGGATGTAGGATGTTCCCCAAGATACGTTTTTTTTTACAAGATCACTTCTTTGTGAGAAAAGTGTCACCCTTCCTTTCATATTAATCCTCTTTGATCTTTGTTGCAGCTTGGCTGTAGAATCGTTGGACCACAGGTAGTCATATTTTGTATGCAGCACCAGCGATGTGTCCCGAGAGCTGAATACCCTGTCCATAATATGGCCATGGCTGATGTAACAATATCCTGTACTAGTCTTGAAAAAGAAACTAGGGTAATACATTACAATATATAATGAAAGAATAATTGTTCAGCTAGATTTTTGTGAAGTTTACTTCCAGATACAGCATTAATAAGATTTATTGGTTAATTGTTTGTAAATGCATTTTGCACTTACTGAAAACTTTTAAATCAGGAATAGAATTCAAATATATATAGAAAGAGTTATTTTTTTAAATGATGATGATGTGACACTTTTATTGTTTCCATCTGAATAATTTTTGTCCCTTTGAATGAGTTAAAGTTCCCATTCTAATCTTTTAGACTAAGAAAACATCTGCAGTTTTACTTTGGGTGTTTGGATGCATTTAACTTTTTCTCAATTGACTACTGTACTGTGTTTACAGAATGAGATCAGCAGAAACCTCAGATCTGTGATATACAAGTTGTATGTAGAAAAAAAATATTTCATTGGTTGTTTTGGGGGAGCATAAAAACTATTGAATAATTTATAGCACTCATGAACTGACTTGAGATCTAGACGGATTGTCCAGCTAGTTGTCTACGGCTAAAATGTCACAGACTATGTAATGTGTTTATCTCAAACTATAAAGTAATTAAAGATTTAATACTTAGGCTACTCTGAATTTCTGTTAAATATTGAACATTTTGATCACACTTTATATTAAGGTTCCATTTATAAAGGCTTAATAAATTATGAATAGATGTTTGAATAGCTAGTTAATCAATTAGAGTCCAGGTTAATAAGTGTCTTATAATCATCTATAATAACGTCTACTGATGTGCTTATAGTAGGGCTGTCAATTAATTGCAGTTAACTCACGTGATTAACTCAAAAAAATTAATCGTGATTAATCGCACTGTTAAACAATAGAATACCAATTGAAATTTATTTAATATTTTTGGATGTTTTCTACATTTTCAAATATATTGATTTCTATTACAACACAGAATACAAAGTGTACAGTGCTCACTTTATATTATTATTTTTATTACAAATATTTGCACTGTAAATATGATAAACAAAAGAAATAGTATTTTTCAATTCATCTCATACAAGTATTGTAGTGTAATCTCTTTATCATGAAAGTGTAACTTACAAATATAGATTTTGTTTGTTTGTTACATAACTGCACTCAAAAACAAAACAATGTAAAATGAGACTGCTATAACATAAAATATATGGCAAAATGCGGATAAACCAGAACAGGATACATACAATTCTCCCCTGAGGAATTCAGTCACAAATTTAATTAATGCATTATTATTGTATTAAGTGAATTGAAAAATACGATTTCTTTTGTTTTTTACAGTGCAAATATTTGTAATAAAAATGAATATAAAGTGAGCACTGTACACTTTGTATTCTGTGTTGTAATTGAAATCAATATATTTGAAAATGTAGAAAACATCCAAAAATATTTAAATAAATGGTATTCTATTATTGTTTAACAGTGCGATTAATTGCGATTAATTTTTTAATCGGTTGACAGCCCTAATTTGTAGCGATGTATAACACATGGTACTCATGTATATATCATGCTTATGGCATCTATTACTCATTTGTTAACCCCTTATAAGCTATTTATAAATTTACTCTTAATAAAAATATGACATTTTTTCTTAAGTGACTGTTTCTGTCTAGTAATAGTATGTGATGTGGATTCCTGGGTAGTAAACAGAACACAGGCATTTTTTCTTATTTAATCTGGATTGTAAATGTGTTCTGGAGGGCACAATCCCCTGGTATTCACTATTTTACAATTTTTAAAGGGATTCCTTCAAAATTGTTCATTTCTATGTAGGCAAAAATATATTTTTCTGTTTTAAAGCTGCCATAAAGTTAAGTTCCAGGAGAAATCACAAGGACATGGAGTAATATTTTTTTTTTAAAATAAGCAATATTGAAATATACATTTTGTTGTTTGACTACTTTATCTTTATTTGCTTTTTTTTTTTTGCTCTTTAGGAAGAAGTTCATAAGTATGTACAGATGATGGGTGGCCGCGTGTACAGAGATCTCAATGCATCAGTAACTCATCTTATAGCTGGAGAAGTTGGCAGCAAGAAATATTTAGTGGCTGCTGCTCTGAAGAAACCCGTATTGCTTCCCGCTTGGGTAGAAGCATTGTGGGAGAAGTCGCAACAAGGGTAAAAGAACCACTTTTTGTATTAGGAAATATTAAATCTTGTACTGGTTCTAGACTATATTTATTCCTTTGTAGTTGTGTTGGAAAAAGATCTGTCTTATTTTCTTTCTTTTTCTCCCCCTTCAGTATGGTTAGATACACAGATATAAGCATGGAAGACTTCATATGTCCTTTATTTCGTGGCTGTACAATCTGTGTAACTGGCTTAAGTAGTGTGGACAGGAAGGAGGTCCAGCGTCTCACTACTGAGCATGGTGGTCAATACACAGGGCAGCTCAAGATGAATGAGTGCACCCACCTCATTGTTCAAGAGCCAAAAGGTAGATATTCTTTAGTCAATTTAAGTTTGAAGGGACAACTTAGCGTAAAGCTAAGCATGTGAATAAGTGTTTGGAAGATCAGGGCCTAGGTCTGTATCTGTTTCATTATGCTGTTGTTATTGCCTGTGTTGTTACGATAAATATTATATGCAAGAAGAGTGATACAGAGTGTTCTTAAGGGAAGGTGGAAAGGACAACAAAGGGACACACAAGCAGAGACCCAAACGCTATCAGAGGAGGGAAGTGGAGAGGCCTACAGAAAAGAAAAAATAGAATCTAAACTAAATTTTGGTGAAATTAGGAGATTTAGGAATTTTAATGATGATATTAATTGGATTACAAATAAACTTGAAGATAAAATTTTCCCACTAAAATTTCTGAGTTTCCTCTTACTAAAATAAAATTAAAGCACTACTTTGTTCTTTGTAGTTTTATTTGAGACACGATGGACAGAATTTTTAAATTTCCTCCCTACTTTTCCCAGGCAATTATTTTGTGATTTCTCTTTTTCCCCTCTTGAAGCCCCAAAATCTTGTTATGGCGATTCTGTCTCTGGCCAAAGAGCTTGGCGTAGCTCCTTCAGTGGGACTGTCAGCTCTGCAGAACAATGTGAGGCATTTTCGTCACTGGGTCTGAATGCTCGAGTGCTCAGATACTAGAATGATGAAAGCAGTATAAACACCTGTATAGACACTTCCAAAACACGTCAGTCTGGAATTTGTGAGCCAAGTAAGACTAAAATCTGATTGCAACATGACAGAATGTGCTAATGCTGACTACCCCGTTTGATTTTTTATTTTTTTAATTTAAGACCGTTATAAACAGCTCATTGTAGATGAGATTAACATTGTTGGTAGCTCAGCCAACCATATATTTTAATTTTCCATACACAATACAATCATATTGGTTAAAATGTTACGAAAGTTTTAACCTTTGATGTTTTGCAACTTTGATGCCACAACTGTGAAATATATCCCCTTGATAACATGGTCACAAGATTACTTTTTTGCTAGCTGACAGTTGCTTTCCATTTTAAGTATGTGAATAAAAGTATGCATTTGCTTTTATATATAATATATTATAAAAATACATAGTTTTTAGGCTGTAAAGTCATGAGTTCAAATTCCATAGCAGAACTTTGGACTAATATTTAATGTTAGCACTGCAGTGAAGTACAGATGAACTATAAAACTGATATTTTTATAGCATCCTGTAAGAGGTAAGTATATTAATGATTAATATTGCTTAGTATGATTATTGTTTAGTAGTATTGCTGTCCATCTGTATCTGACATCTAGCAGTTCCTTCTGACAATTTCTTGTTGCAGTTCAGATGGAAGTTTAAGATCTCATGGCAGTTTTCAAAACAGAAAACCTAACAGATAAAAACAGAACCTAATGTGTTAGAATTATTTGGCTAGCGTGCTTGCACTAGCATACCTAACACTGTTTTTAAAGCAAATTAGGATAGCTTGATTATGAAAGCTGTACTATAAAATCAACAAATAATATTTTATATCATAGGCAATAGTGCTGTCAGAGGAACCAAATTACATTGATACAGCTTTAGTGAATTTGATGTAAACTGCCACTTGGAAAAGCCCTTAGGTATTTGAGAATGTATTGATAATTACCACCTCCAAATGCAGGTTTTGTTTTAACTTTTTTGATTTTGCAATGTGTGGTCATTAATTCAGAATTGTCACTTTTTGGAGCATTAGCCTTTTATTGATTGTGATTTGTCTTTATATAAAGGCCA